GTATATATATATATATATGTGTGTGTGTCTGTGTGTGTTTGTATATATATATATATATATATATATATATATATATATGTGTGTGTGTGTGTGTGTGTGTGTGTGTGTGTGAGAGAGAGAGAGAGCGAGAGAGAGAGAGCGAGAGAGAGAGACTGGAAAGATATCAGCTTATATTAATGGCTAAAAAGTAGACACACATTGTTCAATGCCGAGATATTTTAATACACACGATGGCTAGAAACTGTTTTATTATATCTAAAACTTATCGAATTAAGAAGAATTTAAGAATTGTAAGAATTCAATTGGGAGGATATTTTCGATTTTGGTCCCTATGGAATTAAATCCAAAGGAACCCACGCAAGTAACTCAGTACTCATTATTAAGAACCTACATGGCCTGAAGTTGAATTCCATCATAAATGGCCTGAAGTTGAATTCCATCATAAATCGAATTATCTCAAATCGAACGGATTATTCTTTTATGATACGACTGATATTTCTCATAAAAGAAAACTTTATTCAAGTAATTTACTAAAGACAGCAAATAATTTACGAATGTAATAATTTACTTTTCGTTTGATTTTATTTGGTGTTTTCACTGGAGAACATATTGCCGGCATGCAAAATACAAAGTTTATCTCAAATAATTATATATACACGAATGTTACTCGTTATATGAAAGTGTTTTAACCCATAGCTTCCCTGGCATCACTTTAAAATGACGCCTTACCTTTTTTCATATATCTACATAATAATTATAATTTATTATTTTGGGAAGTGAAAATTTCAGATAAATATTTTTTCATGTGAAATTAAAAAATACGAATTTTAAACAAAATTGTCACAGTATATGGAAAAGAAGCTGTTAGTTTAAATTCATGCCAAGAGGATATGAATTAATCTTTGGAATATACTTTTGGCCATTATGGGTAATATTAGATTTTGCTATATTTAGCCATATTTTATTAATGAGACGCCGTTAAAATAAAATTATATGTGGATGAATTTATTTATACTACTTCCTCAAGGATGCATGGTGGATAAAAGCGTTGGTTGAACTTGACCAGTGACATGAGCCAAAAGAGTTGTGAGTTCAATACCTGGCTACAAAACAGAAGTAAACAAAAACTTGTAGAGTTGATTTAAAGGGAGATAAATGATACTAAGACACCCGGAAAAGGCATGACACGTGAAACTATAAATAGAGGGTGGACGAAATAGAGGGTTCAGTTCGAAATTCCAGTCACCTGAAGAAGGCCGGAGCGTACAATGGCCGAAACGTCGTGAATATGGCAATAAAGATTAGGACAACGGTTCGAATAATGTAAATAGTGTAAATAATTACAATACCTTACCTCAGAAATATGGACAGATCCTGAAGAAGGCTAGGGCGTACAATGGCCGAGACGTTGTGAAGATGACTATAAAGTTGATGACAACGCTCCGAACAATGTTGATAGTGAAAATAATTACAAATATCTCATCTCAGAAATGTACACAGATAATGGACGAATTTAATCATGTATGAATAAAGACATCTGGTTCAATAACTACTTAATCTTTTAACTGGACTGATAATTAATGTTAACAGACAATCGCTGTATAGGTTGAATCATAAGTGATTTCCATTTTTGTGAACCAAATGTAATGATGAATGTATCATTCAAATTAACCGTTCATTAAATATACCATAACAGATGATGAAAAGTGGGATGCATACAACAATGTTCAACGCAAAGGGCTTTTTAACTAACCAAAATTCTTAATCTGCTAATTACATATATATGTATATGATAGGTGTGTGGGCAGGTGGGTTAATGTATAGCAGTTCTGAATGAGAAATCAGACAACCGATCCAAGTTCGTTACATTCACTTACGCCTAAATACCATTGAGAAAGGCATGAACCCACCTATTCTCCCCTACCTATAGCTTAAATAATATAATAGACTAGGCTCTTCAAACTTGACTGATAGATAAGATAATTCTGAATTCCAAAACGTATGTATCCCTGGGGAAGTTTGCAGCTAAGGAAAGGATAGTGGTGCTCCATGGACCCAACTATATATATATATATATATATATATATATATATATATATTGAACAATAAAAAAATATTAAAAAATTAAAATCTTCAGACACACTGGGTTGTAGATTAATATTCTTTCTTTTTTTTATTATTATTATTTCATACTAGTTTCGGCCAAAATGGCCATCATCGGTAGAAGAAATATTTCTGCTTTCTGGTAGCAGTAAACTACAGAAATGAATTATTTATATATATATATATATATATATATATATATATATATATATATATATATAATGTACTTACGACTTATGCTGAAAATTCTTTGAGCTACTTTTCATTCATTTGATTAAACATGAATTTTTTATAGAAAGGCTTTCTCATCTGGCTGAGAACTTTTTTGCATTCTATCGTATGTATCAGGTGAGGCCAAACCGCTTCTCGCGTGCCACGTGTGGTTCTTCGAACCTTTAATATGCGGCTCATGGTAATATGTTGCCTGAGCTTCTTTTTTAATCACAATTAATATAAAAATAAATAAGAAAAATTCAAGTTTTAATTATTCATTTGGTATGAATTGAGAGCCCGATTGAATAAAAACCTAAGTTTAATGTTAATGGTTCTTAAAAAATATTTAAGAAATTAAATCCTAATTTTAATGCTAAATCTGAATGAGAAGTTGTTCTTTAGTACTGGTGGTAGAAATGGTGGAAGGCAGGGGAGATTAAAGAAACATTAACTGTTACTTTACTGAGAGTGTAAAAAGCAGTTGACTTTCCAAGCCATACATTGGTTGGAAAAACTTTGAATAAAGATAAGTACAAACACTTTTTATTTTGTGAAGATCTTCTTGCTTACTGATTCGCTTATCCTGAATCTTCGTCTTAACTCCACACCTCTTATCAGCACGACTCGTTGCGCCTTCTTGATCTAACATTCTTGGCTGATATAAATTAGACAGACTACATTGAATCCATTGCTTGGTCTGCTGTCAATAAAGTTAATTTATTGTGTCAATTTTTCTCTCCAGAATCTATTTTGCATATTTATAAGATTTACCATCCGTCCATCCATTTAATATTGCTGCTACATCTGGTCTGGGGTTCCAGCTATATATTTAGAGATTCTTAATAAAATCTAAAGAAGAATCAGCAATATTATTGGTTCTGACCTGGAATGACTTGAATCTGTATATATTTAACATTACATTTTAGTCAATTCCTAACTATATCAATTACTCACATTCTGTGTATTAGGTGCACACCCAAGTCCTCGTCCGAAATGTAGTCCTTACATTATTGTATCTGATATACTGCCCCACTCCTTTCTAAGGTGGTTGTTTATATAACTGCGTGTTTTAACTTACCGACACTTTCCAAACGGATTGCAAGTATGAAGTTACGTGCTTTTCCATTCGGTGGTCGGGGTTAAACCCAGCCATACTCTGCAGCTGACTTTCTTGGCAGTCTAGTAGAGTGCAATGACTATTCTAACATAATAGTGCAAAATGGATGTCAGTCAAAAATATAATCTAAAAATAATCAGACTTCAAATAAATTAAAACTATAATTAGATCGTAAAACCCAAAACAATATGGTATATGATTCTGTATGTGCTTACAGTTACCTATATAAGCGTTCATATGTTTGTTTGGGCACGGATATATATATATCTATATATATATATATATATATATATATATATATATATATATATATATATATATATATATATATATATAAATACACACAGATACAGCCACGTATATATGTAAGTCTATAAGAGCAGGTGTGTTAGAGTCTAATAAAATATTTAATTTCCTTTATCTTCACACGCTTGTAAAAAATAAAGCCGTATTAAATTTTAACGAATAGAAATATTTATTCTTTCCTGAAGGCGAATTTTGCACATTCTTTTAAATTTGTTCATCTTAAACTAAGACATTCTATGGAAAAGATTGGGTTTCTGTACGTAAAATACAGAAAATAATTCCTTTCGTAATTTTATATACGAACTTAGCGTCAATAAAAAAATCCTTTTCTCGATCTCCTTATTGATAATAATGATTAGAACTTTATTACTTCAGTCTATAAAAACGTGTTAAAGAGAAATTAACTCCTGTCTTCTTGACGATGTAAATGTCATTGAATATACAAGATAACAGTTATTAAAACACTTTATCAACAGTACAAAATCTTCCTCTGCAATAATTCCCTATAATTATTTGATATTAAGGAAACATTTAGTAATGATGACTTTACTAATCATATAGTCGATAAACGAATTATTTTTTTCAGTTAATCATAGTAACACACATCATAAATTTGATTTATACACCTAAAATATTATTGGTTTATTTTTATTAGCAGAGACCAGATGTCGTATTTCTGAATTTTCGTGTTACGAAGTTCGTTTCAATATTACGTGGCTAAATGTTCCAAGTTAGGTGTTTAGTGATAAGATTTCTGTATCTCAATTTATTCAGAATATGTGTTTTAAGTTGGAATAAGATTTATTATTCGTTTTTGTTTTTAATGTTAGCTGGAAATGGTATGGTTTAGGGAAGTTTATTATATATTCGACTATATCTTTTTTACCAACGGACCATCGAGGTGTGCACTGGTTCGATCTTGTGTCAAACGAGGACCAGTCAGCCGAGCATGCTCCTCACCCTCGCTTAGTGCCATGTTCGCTGGTTCAGTCGCATCCTACGATGACTTCATGACCTCTCTACCAGAGTCATCTACGAGTTCGACCCGCCATCTGCAAATTGGCAACGACCTCCCGGTAGGTCACGCAGCCGCTGGAAGGACATCATCAAACACGACCTCCAGCAGATTAATCTGGCGCTGGACGATGTTCCAACGATCTGCCAATATCGTGAGAGCTAGAGGGACAAGGTGGCTCTCGTGGGATCAACGGCCTGCTGATATGAGATTTAGCAGCAGTAGCAGCAACAGAGTGTCGAGAAAATGCCACCGAGGGCAATGTTGTCCAGGAAAGTGGGACCGGTTGCTAGTTGTGAGTAAGACTCACTCACCGTTACGTTTCCATGATTTAGCAATTGACAAATTGAATAGACATTCCTGTTGAATAACTGAATGGAGTCGAACTGTATCCAAATTCAATAAATAAACCTGTAAAGACAACCGATCTGCTTTTAGTTTTAGAACGTTCTCTGCGATCTGACCTTTGCGATCCGACCTTCGTCCAACACCGATGCACATTAGTTTTATATAAAGTGGATTATTGCTTTCCCGTAAGCCATTTCTATTGACTCAACAAAAACAGCTCAACTCCGTAATGCTGCCATTTTTACAAATGGCCGTTACATCATCCGATCACCCTTAATGTCATCGGAGAAGATAGTGGAGAAGTGACCAAACAGGGGATTATAGTCAAACCATATGTCCACTTAGTAGCTGTTACTTTCATAATGGAACTAAACAGGGCCCAATTTCTCTTTCGTTCTCTCTGACTTCCTTACTATCTTTCTCCCTTTTACTCTCTCTCTCTCTCTCTCTCTTTCTCTCTCTCTCTCTCTCTACTTCTCTGTTTACCACTCTCTCTATTTCACTCACACCTTCTACCTCTCTCTCTTTTCTATCCCTATCTCTCTCACTCCCATTACCTCTCTCTTTCCCTTTCCCGCTCACACTACTTCACTCTTTCTACTCTCTCTGTACCTCCTTCACTGTCATTCTCTCATTTCTTCACCCTCATTACGCCTCTCTAACTCACTCTCTCTCTTTACATCTCTTTCTACCTTCCTCATTCTCATTACTTTTCTTTACCTTTCTCTTTCTACCTCCTTCACACTCTTTACCTCTCTCTCTGCCTTTGTCACTCTCCTTGCTCCTTTCTCTATCCCACCACTCTCATTACCTCACTCTCATTAGTTCTTTCTCTCTGTACCTCTCGCATTGTCTTTGCCCTCTCTATCTACGTACTTCGGTGATTGAGCTGCTTCAACCGACCAATCTGTGCTCGAGTGATAACGCCTAAAGTCGTAGTCCAATTTGTTTCTCTATTAATATCTTTACACACCGACTGATAAATTACTACACAATTCGTAACTTTATGTAAAGTAAGTAACACATGCATACACACGGATAAAATGATTAGCCTGAATCAGATAAGAAATAAGGGAAAAGCGGACAATTTACCAAATGAATATGCCAAAATCTTTTGAGAAGATGAGCTCTTTGAATTTTTTAAAATTGCAATTACTTACAAATCAACTAGCGTTTATATTTTCATCATATTTTGGTGAATAGAGTGTTTCTGTAGATATATCACAGAAGCCAAATCCTTTCCATAGAATTTCTTAGTTTAAGCCATATTTTTATGCAAAAAATAAACCTTCAGGAAAGAAGAAATATTTCTATTCATTAAAATTTCGGTTTTATTTATTTTTAAAAACCGGCTAAGATAAAGAAAAAAAGAAAAAAAATTCATTCTTTATTCGAATCTCACACTGAAAAAGATTAACATACATTTACACATAACTGCACTCATAAACGTCTATGCATAAGTGCAAGTATAAACGTCCATTTCTCTACACGTATATATATATATATATATATATATATATATATATATATATATATATATATATACGTGTGTGTGTATTTTATTTACACACAGATACTTATACTCATATATGCTCATACCCAATCAAATATATTGAAAACACTCTCCTCGAACACACACACGCACACACACATATATATTTATATATAAATATAAATATAAATATAAATATATATATATATATATATATATATATATATATATATATATATATATATATATATATTAGTGCCACTATCACGCAAGGTTTTACAGAGTGGGACCGAGAGCAATGAGGCGTGATAGAGGAAAGGATGAATAGATGGACAGGGACTAGATCAACGCATCTGGAGATATCGATTGACATTACATTTGAATAGTTAGAGATTATAGCTATCAGGGAAACAAGGAACAGGAAGGGAATTCCGAGACATGGAGCTATTGGAGTAGAAGAGACGGCTACATTTAGGAGTTTCGACAGTGAAAGGGTGGGATCTAGGTGTCAGCCTAGTTGCACGTTTAAATTCATGCAATCTGGGAAATAACGAAAGTAGCTCGTCGGAGCAGTTACTGAGAAAGTATTTGTAGAAAAGACAGAGGGAGGCAACGGCACGTCTGTGAGAGAGCGAATGTAGACGAGATGCCAGTTCAGAGCCAATCACATTGCATATCCGTCTCTGGATTTTGCCGATGACCTTAAGACGAATATTGAGGACTCCAGATCATATACAGCAACAGTATTCCATGCAAGGGTGAATTGTTGATTTATAAATTTAAAGGATGGACTCGGGCGAGAAAAAACTTTCTGGCGCGACACAGGGAACCAACTTTCCTTGCAGTGGATGAGGCTATAGATTCAATGTAATTGTTCCATCTCGGGTCAGCGAAAAGTGTGAGACCAAGCAGTCGCAAAGAGGTGCTCTCGTGGAGTTGAGCATCAGACATTCTAATGGGTAGCAGGGATGACTCCCTGTGGTGAGTAATAGAGAGTAGTTTTGTTTTAGAGGCATTAAAGTTAACCAGACAATTCCTGCCCCAGTCTACAACCGATGAGAGGTCCTTTCGAGACTAACGGCCAGGTTAATTTTGTCAGCGATACCAGATTTGCTTTTGAGGCATGAGTAAATAGTGGTGTCGTCTGCATAGATGCCTACTTGGGAAAATCTCAGTTTGAAATTCTTTTAAAAATCAATTATATTTTTTTTCAAAACTTATTTTAAGAAAATCAGAAATTATAATATTTATTTTAAATATTTTGAACCAAACATAACGAAAAGATGTAATTTGAAAATAAAACAAAGCAGGTCATAACCTTTCGCGTCACTTGACAGGTGTTGAATGACATATTGACGGATTACGTGAGGATAATTTGTTCTACGGAAGGTGAAAAGCGAAATTATTTAGATTTAAGTGAACAAATTATTTACCTTGTTATTTTAAGGAAAACTTTCAGCGCTCTAATTTTTTTTTTTTTTTGTAATTAGCTTTCACCTTTACGCTTACGATGCTTTATGGAAAATATATTATAAAGAAATTAAAATAAGACTGTTAAGAGTGAGATTAAATTTCATAAGAAAGGTATCTAATTAATTTATAGATAACTTCCTTATGAAATTTTATCAGAAGTGTACATAAAATACTATAATTTTATGTACATTTATTACATTTTACTGTGTATTTGTATTTCCATTCATTTTATTATTAATTTTGATATTTCATTTATGGAAAAATGTCATAACTGAGATTAATATAAAAATAAGATCATATAAATTTCATAAGATAATACTGATACTTGTAGGTACCCTTCTCAGTTGAAATTGAAAAATAAATTTAACTTCTCCACACGTGTTTCGCGTAAGTAAAGGCCTTAACACTGAAGAACAATGCTTAACTGAAATAACGCAACTTAATTGTATTCTGGTTGGTCTTCCGTACTTTATAAAGACATCAAGCCCGGTTATGAACACAAAATTACATTTCTTAATTACTGCGGGTCTTCTGATCAGTCAAAATGATACAATTTACAACGCGCTAAAAAAAGATCTATCTTATAAGGACACTTACGAAAGCGGTGCGGCTTTTAACTAATTTTATAATATTTTAACAACTTAAATGTAAAAATCTATTATAATTAAAGTAATAACAAATAATTGTATTAAAATTCATTTTTCATCGAAAAAATGTTTTGCTTTCAGAAAATATTGTCCATATTCATAAAAACAACTAAAAGCAAATAAAAGCATTTGAAATTAAATAATATCTTTGTTTTATTGAGTTTTATATGTTACAATTCAGAGCTGATTTTCAGGTAGGTGGGGTCCAATTAAAAAATGAAAAAAAAACATGATTTGCATTCCTCAAAGCCTTGTGCTTTTAACTATTGTAATCACTAAAATGGATTCTATCGAATTCCTAGAGTTTTCGTAAAATTAATTATGCGGGGGGTGGGGGTTAATAAATATAAAAAAAATATTCCTGACATGACTTTAGTAGAAAATACATATAATAATTTCCATCATCTATGAATAGTTTCTGAAAGTTTCATTAACATCCAACAATTATTTTTATTTTTGCAAGATTTTCCAAATGAATGTGTGCCATACAAAAAAAAAAAAGAACGTGCTAAAAATTGTATATGTTATTTTACTAGTTCCGGTGATACAAAGAGAAACAAGGTTTTCTTAATCAAAATTTAGAATGTTCTGAAAAGAAGGAAAATTTTCTAAAAATAATTTTAAAAAAATTTGATCTTTCCTCTTCATAATAACATAAACATTTAGACGATAAAGTTTTGTTTCCGTCAAGTTTGCCGTCTTTTTCATCATGCTATGGTCTTTTTTTTTTAGCGATCTCATGGAGGTACCTATTTTAAGGTATGCTATATTTATGGATTAAAGTGTTCAATACCAGGGATATTGCGTATGTAAATATATAAATATAAAAGTGGACATTGAAGTCAACACCCAGTAGTAACAGTCTGTTTCATGCTAAACGAAATCGCCAGGCCATATCTCCACTTATATATATATATATATATATATATATATATATATATATATATATATATTAAACTAATAAGAAAGAACTGTATGATTTACAATCCGGTGTTCTTAATAATTATTTTTATTTTAAAAAGACAGTGCTCGATACATAAACCGTAGAGCATAATATCATAATTATTTACTATTTTAAAAATATGGTCCCATCGCTACACACAATTACCATGTTTCAAAATAGAAATTAAAGTTTTAAATTTAATTATAAAATTAAATTTAAAATCCATAGTTCCATTCTATTATCATGCGATTTTTGGAATAAACTAATTAAGAAGTTTACTTCACTTATAAGCACAGACAATTTTAATATTTTAAACTGCTAAGGTTACAGAAAAATTCAATCATTTTAATAAGAGGCGTTTAGGTGTTAATTTCACCAGAAATTGTATCAAATATGTTACTTTCAAAATCAGGTTAAGTTAAGGTGGGATAGGGGTTCCTACTTACAAACAATGACATCCGTTTGTCGCGTGTCGTCTGGGTTTTTGCCATTTTCATTGGCCGCTTAATTTATAATATTATACGCTTCTTAAAGGGGTCGTCAGAATATGCGTAAATCGTATTTTTAATATTTAAAAATTTTATTCCTATAAATTTAAAGTACTTTTCTACTTCTAACAACTAATAAACTATACGTTATTTTCTAAATAAATACATTAGAATTACATTAATATTTTTTTTAAATTATCGCCTATTAGGATAAAGCCGTCCCAGACATCAAGTGGACACGTACGTACGATCCATTGCTAAAGATAGGGGAAAAATGGTTGGTTGCCTGTAACGCTCCACTGACTCTCTCTTTACAATCCGTAAGTCCGAATTAGGAGGACTGCTGCCATATATAGACAGGTGTTGCACAGTCTTCACTTTCTAGTTTCAAAAGAATCCAAAAGCCTCTTCGCGTCCTTGTGGGTGATTAAATATTTTCCACACTACATCCCCTTTCCCACAAACGAAAAGTCGAAAGGCAGACCCAAACAGCTGAAAGCGTGACATCGACCCACGCTACACATTGCAAGTCCTCCAGATTCGGACTACAGACACTATGTGACCAGATCTTGCTCTGTGTCCGGTGTCAAGGTGTTACGAGGAAAGCTAATGGACCTGATGGATATGCGTCTATTACATTGTACATTGCCTGTGGATATGATTTAAATCAGTTTCATTTGTCTGTTACGACAGACAATTCTAGCCAAATGTCTCTGGTCCCGACCATAGAGGACCTGTTATCGTAAGTGTTGTCCGCGGTAAACAGCAATGCTTGCCATCAAGTATTTCCGTTGCATACGTAACACATTTCAAATATCGCAACAATTTCAGAATCAGAATGTCCAATCATGTCCTTTTCGAATTCCGATAACTCACGCCCCCTTGAAA